GGTAAAAAAATGAATAAATATTCCCAGTATGAGATTTTATTTTTTAAAAAAAGATCTCACAAGTTCTCTGGAATAAGGCATGTACTTGAATTTTGAAAGTTACTTAAGCAGCCAGCTAGCTTTGCAGGTCAGGATTTATAACCCTTCCTTTTAGGGCCTTGACAAACAGTACCAAGGTTCTGACCTTAAACTAAAATTCCTAAAACTCTTAGTACCTGAAATCATGCACCCAACATTCCTCCCCAGCATGCACTTGATTAGTCACAAGGAGCCATCATTAATGCCTGCTCTGGAAGGAAGCACAGCATGGAGAAGTTAGCAAGTTCTGAGATAGAGAGACCAGCGTAGACAGCAAAGCACCATCTCTGGGCAGATTAGCCTTGAAGGATGTCAGGATTCAGATCTTTCAGTGTCGCTTCAGTTATCTCAACAGGAACTTGGTGTTTGTCACTATTCCAGGTAACCCTCTTTCTTTCCAGGAGACTTTCTAAAATATTCTGAGGATTTGACCTGCTATAGATATGTTCTTTGGGCATTGTAACTACATTTTTAAAATAATTCCTTTAAGAAGGTGTTACCAGCATCTTACAACTTATTTGTTGGCTGAAGATATGGCAAATAAAACATCCAGGGCATTTGGTTGACATCTTCTTTATTTAGTTCTATTCATATGATTGAAATAATACGATGCACATTTAACCTTTACTTCACTTTGCTATGCTGTGAAATTTTCAAAACATCAAAAATATTGTTGAAACAGAGAAAGGTATCATGGCTAGATTAATTTAAGAATGTTGCTTTTTGCCTGCAACCATACTTGATTCTCAACAGTTTTTAAACGCTGACTGTTGTAGAAAGAAGTATTTTAGGATTTATTTTGGTTCCCCCACTCCAGCATCCTTTTCTGACCAATAACTGCATCTTTGTATCTGTGTTACCGGAAACCAACATATCTAAAAGACTTAGATCTAAAGCATATTAAAACTTCCCTCACCATTTCAAAATAACATGGGAGTCTGACAGCTAATGCTTTGGCAGTGAGGTGGTAATAATGAAATACCATATATACTCAGGTACAGCATGCAGAGAAGATTGGGAAGTGACTTGAAATGCTGGCTTTATTTGTTTATCTGTTAAGCTAGATCCCAAATGATTTCATTTACTCATAGATAAACTTTCTTTATGGACAAAATTTGAGTGTTCATTTTCCTCTCAGTTAGTATGCAAATCTATTTGCAGCAATCTAGCAAAAGAAAATGCAACTCATTTTCTGTGCTTATAAATTGTTCATTATCATGCTCTCTGATGACCAGTTCATGACTCCATCTGCAACTCCACAAATCTCTTTACCCAGACAAACTTGGTGGTGTACATACAAGGTGCTGAAGAAGAAAAATTTGGAATTAAGGGAGAAAATTCATATCTCATACAAAATTCCTAGGTCAATCATTTAAAGTTTGTAAGTTTTTACCTGTACATATATGCAACAGTCCAGTGAAATAAATGCTTCCACTGACCTATTTGGGCTGAGTTTTATAGCTACGTTTAAGTGACATCTCAAGGCTTTTTTATTGTACACAGAAAGAGTTCCAATTCTTAGGAAAAAACAAACACACAAAGTCTTTAGAAAGAAATAGTTTCTTTCCTTGTAATTGTGGGTGTTATTATAACCTGTAAGGTTCAACACAGAGAACTAAGATAATTGTGATGGAATGCTTAGGGGTTTGGGTCTTCTAAAGGTTATTATTACCTTCCCTCTTTTTTGATAAAGATTGTAAATCTCAGCAGGAATTTCATATGATCTTAAGTGGACCTCAGCCTTAGAGCTGTTAAAGTCACCCCTTCATGCATACATTTAGCACCCATTAATGCAAATAGGTTTGACTTATGTTTCCTCATACTGGGAACTTGCTTCCTTTGCATGAAAATACTACTAACAACTACTAATGAACTCTTTCCTCTGCCTTGAATGCAAAAATACACAGAAAAATGCAAGGCATACAAAAGCTCTTTAGAGCAAGCAAAATCTGCCTATAGAGAAAACAAAAAACTCTGTACAAATACATCTATAGTGTATGTAGGATAAGAATCTAGTTTGCAATACACATCTCCTGTCACTGCTGAATTTAAAAATCTACCTAGAGAATTTTTGTTGTTGTTGTTTTATGATGGTGCTGGGGATCAAACCCAGTGCCTCGTATTCTAGGCAGGCTCTGTACCATTGAGCTACACCTCCAGCCCCCAGAGAAATTTTTTCAATTAAAACTCTGTACACCAACAATAAACTATGCAGCAGAGCTTTTAATTAAAAAAAAAGAAGAAGAAGAACAAAAGAAAGATATAAACCCGAATTGTCTCTAGGCACTGCTCCTATTAAAGGATTAGACTGATGAGATGTTGGATTTTATTGTTCTAAACATGTGTTTCAGTTGGTGCTTTCGAATCTGCCATGCGAAGAAAATGAAATGTAAGTAAATAGCAATAGATTCCTTGTTTTTATTTAGCATTTTAAAAATTCAAACAATCAAAAAGGATAAAGTCAATTATAAAGCCCCCAAAGAGTTTCAAGTGATGGTGATAATCACATAAGAAAAACACTAATAGTTTTTAAATGCAGATGGCTTAATTTTTCTAAAACCAAGAGATAATAATTTTCTTAAGATCGTTATTAAATAAAGAAGGGGCCTGGTTTATTTCTAGATATTTTTGGTCACTGACTTCCCCTTCCTTTAAGCATCCAGGGTGCTGTAAGTGCATGAGAGAATTATCACGATGTCACCTCCTCCGAAGCTGCATTCACATGCATAGGTCACAGCAATGATGGGTGGCAATTTACCGGACAACAAACAAACCCAAATTCTAACTTGTATTATGTGTACATTTCAAAGTGATTCTGATATGAATTATGTGAATAATTGACTCGCTTTTCTCACTTTTTGTGCTGTGGATTTAATGGTTCCCAGAATTCTATTCGGGAGATGGGGAGAAGGTGCCATTAATAATGCTGATGATGATTCATGATAACTATAATGCACTGTGACTTAGTGCAAGTGTCAGAAAAGCACTCCTGCCAAGTGCTGTCTTCTGGTTGCTACACTCTCTGCCAGCCAGCTGCTTTCAATTATCATTGTCTATTTCCCTCAAAGCCAAGGTCTATGGACACTGGCTCTAAAGTAAGAGTCGGGGCCAAATGGGGCTTTCCTGGGCTCTGGAGTCATTCGCCTGTCTCTGGAGGATCATCTTCTTGTTAACAATCTACTTATTAAGTGTATGCCCCCTTTTAGTGTTTGCATCAACCTTCATTGCTGTTTCTTTTCATTTATTTTCAGACCTGCCATTTTGTTCTATCTCTTGCTGTTTGTGACATGATAATTTTTGATTATAGGCTTTCCTGACTCTGGATTTCATAGCTACACTCATCCTGCCTCATCGTTTCTGCCTTTGACTCGGAAGAATAGAATACAGAATTTCAGAATTGGAAAATATCTTAAGTGTCAATTCTAATTCTCTAATCAACATGACAGGGAAACATGGCATTGAGGAACGATTTATATTTACTTTTGAGCCTTTGAGGCTACAGGTCTCCTTTTTTGGGGAAGAAATTGAGATCCAGACAGATAGTAAACTAACAAGAGGACTTCAATTGATATTAGATATGACCTTTTATTGGCTACATTTAAGTTTTACATCTAAACTTTTACATCTAATTTTCCATTATATTATCATTATTTCCCTTTTGAGTGAAAACTAGAAACTGCCTTGTTATGATTTGGATTGAGATGTCCTCCAAAAGCTCACGTGTGAGACAATGCAAGAAGTTTTAGAGGAGAACTGATTGGGTTATAGCCAATAAATCAGTAAATTAATCCCCTGATGGGGATTAACTGAATGGTAACTGAAGTGGTAGGGTGTAGCTGGAGGAAGTGATTCATTGTGGCTTTCCGGTATATATTCTGTATCTGGTGAGTGGAACTCTCTCTCTCTGCTTTCTGGTCATCATGTGAGCTGCTTCCCTCTGCCACACTCTTCCGCCTTGATGTTCAGCCTCACCTCCAGCCCTGAGGAATGGAGCTGGCCTGCTATGGTATAAAAAATCTGAAACCATGAGCCTTCAAAATAAACTTTTCCTCCTCTATAATTGTGATGGTCAGATTCTTTTAGTCACAGCAATGAAAAAAAGCTGACTAAAATGTGCCTCAAATACATTTCAAATTAGTAGGAAATAAAGACAAGAGAGTAGCTGGAAGAATACGGAAGTAGTAAGTAAAGGTATTGAAGGTAGATACAATCTCTCTTTTTTTTATGCAAGATAGTGTTAGTGAGATTAGTCTATAATGAAAGGTGTACTGGTTTCTTAAAGAGTAGAAGTTCCACATCCAAACAGGATTCACTTTCTCTACCTATATTTGTCCTAGATATCTTCAATTTAGGATTTCATCTTTGATCTGAGACATTATCTTTGTTAAAATCCATTACCTGTCCAAGAGAGTATACATTCATCCTTTATCAAACTATAAGAGAGTAACACAAACCCACTAGATTACAGGTAAAAGGAAGCATCGAGATGGCCCTCTCCACATGTCCTTTTGAAATGAGAAACATAAAAGAAGAGTAACTTGCCCAAAGTTCACACACAAAATGGACACAAAAATCAGAGATGGATCAGAATGCAAGGGAGTAGAAGAGCAGAAAGAAAATGGAATGAGGGCTATTCTGATAGAGGCCATGTTTGAGTGAGAAAGGATCTCTGAATAGCCAGAAATAACTTTGTTTTTCATTAATTAACTTCTTGATCCAAATATTTGCAAAATAATTCATATATGTGTGTGTGTATATATATATATATATATATATATATATATATATATATATATATATACTCAATGTTTAAAATTTTTGATCTATTATTAGTTCTATTTAAATTTGTTTTCAAACACTAGGCTTTTAATTTTGTGATATGACCTACTCATTTTATTTTTATAACTGAATTTTTAGTAGCAACAATGCATTGCTTCACTTTACATAAAATTTAAGTGTTAATTTATTGTATGAAATCAAATGTGATATAGCCCCCTCTATCTCTTTAATCCATTCCTCTCCCCATAAATAAACAATTACACTGATTTGCATGTATGTAGATAGTGATTTATAAAACATATATTATATATATAAAGTATTATGTAAATTAATTTTGTTAACAAATTTCCTAATGACATGCTACCATCTCACTTGGCCAGTGAGGGTAAATATTTAGTTCAAGAGCAAGGAATCAAAGAAGAAGTAGAGTTTAGATGGAGACCCAGAACTGACTCTAAATTCTGAACCCAGATGTTTAACCACAAAGTCATATTGTACATCCAACATTTAATCACTACAAAATTGGTGAAATGCCTGAGGAACATATAGCCTATTCAGTTTCCTAGATACTATGCAATTTACCACCAATTTCTGGATGACATGACTTACTACCCATCCTTCCCACATGTTTGTGTGCATGAATTGTACATTGGCCTAATTGGAGGAGTAGTTTTATTTAAAAAGAAAAAAAAATCGTGAAATTTGTTATTTTATTTATCCTAAGACTATGGAAACACTGTTCCTATTATTAACAATGGTCTCTTTATGAAGTCCCATGGTTTGAATTTTTCTCTGGTTTCTATAGGAAGAATAGTTTTACATCTGATGAATAATGTTGTTTGTTTTGTTAATTTTAAAGGACAGTATATACCAATTCTCTCTCATCTTATTAACTGCTAGAAAGCTTAAGCCAGATCTGGAGTTCAGTTCTTTTATAAATGGGACTTGTTACATTTGGTTTACAAATTGATCTCATTCTTGTCTTATTCTCTGTGCCTGATACTCTCCATGCTCTCACTTGTAAATTTTTTCATTTTTGTATTTTCAGTATTTCCTGAAAGCATTTTGGAACACAGGATATTGGATGCATTCAGCTAACACTCCATACAATGTAGAGCTGAGTTTTAGTGCTCCCAGTTGCAGTATTGCATGGTGGTAATGGACATGGCTCCACAGCCAGACCATTTGTGTTTAAAACCTCTGCCACTTCCAGTAATGCTAATTTGGACAAGTTACTTAACCTCCCTGCGACTGAGTTTTCTGAATTATAAAAAGAAGATTATAATAGTGTGGGCCTCACTTATAGTGCTGTAAGTTCTAAAGTGAATTACTTGACATGACCTAATATACCTGGTTTGGAAGAATGCCTGCCATAGAAAATGCTGGGTCATTGTAGAGAGGAGCAAATGGAGCAGATCTGCAGTTTTCTTCCTGAATTAATGTAATTAATGAATTTAAAATTTTAGTTGCATGGATTCTCAGCACTGAGAAGACCAACTAGTCTAACCATCCATATAGAGCAGGAATCATTTCCAGAGGATCCAAGTAAAGAAGGGCCCTTGTTCTGGTAGAAACTGAAATTATCTCTATCATCTACTTCTAGAAGATTCTGATTATTTCAAATGTCTTCCTTAAACATTCCTTTCTGCTCTCATTTCTCCCTGATAGCTATCTTGTTTTCTTTTTAACATCAGCATCCTAATTTGAGCAACACCTGAATAATAACTTCATTTTTAAAAAAATATAAACTTTGTACTCTAAAGATCTTGCATTTAAAATTTGAGCAATTGGAATGCTGTTACAGTTCAGAAATTATTTTTTTAAGAATTCAAAATGTTTTTGTTGAAGAATTGAATTTGAGAAAGAAATGGGAATAATGGTGAGAAAGAAGGAGCCAGAAGACACATATTCTATGTTAAGTTCCAGCTAGTGACCTCCCACTTTCATTCCTTATTCTGGATCCCAGGTGTACAGTGAATAAAATCCTTAGAGTGAGATACATGTCAGAATTTTTGGAATTACATGATAGATGTCAGAATTTTTGGAATTACTTGACAACTCCATTCTCCAGCTAAGTTCTTTTTGGCCATTTTATTACTTGTAAGAACAACCACCAGAGGGTGCACAGGGCTAGTAAAGAGAAAGTGAAATAAGTCAAGTTTGGGTTATTGCTAGCACTGAAAACAATCATGAGTGGCTAATAAATAAGAATTATGAAATAAAATGAGGCACTCAATTTTTAGTCTTGACTTAAAGTTATATGGGATGATTCTAAATGTAAAAATAGAGGAGATTTATATATGCATGAAGATGAGATAATCCATTCCAAGCCTTGATCTTAGAAGTCAAGATCTACAAACAAGAAACTTCAGCTTTTTTATTTGATCAGGACACCATGGAAATTTACCTATATTCATCTCTTGAGTTGGATACTATATTTTGAAGATTTTTATATTTTAATGTAATATTTTAATACTTTCTGATGACAAAAGTAATGCCTATATAAATATTCAAACAATATGAAAATATTAAAAGGAAAATGTTCTTTATTATACAATCTTCAAGAGAAGCCTTGATGGTACAATGATGGAATATTTTATATTTAACTAATAGCTATTTTTGCTGGAATCATTGTATTTGTCTAAAAGAATATATACAGTATAGGGCTGAGCTCTCTAAATTGTTTTTCTTACCAAAACTTTTAATTATAAATAAAAGTCTATATTTTTCTCTATGACAAGATAATATTCTCTTAAATGATGTGTCATTAATTATTGTTACCATCCTTTACTAATGATCACTTATCCTGAGATACCTTTGAAAGTTATACTTCAGTTGCCTTTTGGGGGGGATTGGGGGAGTACCAGAAATTGAATTCAGAGGCACTTGACCACTAAGCCACATCTCCAGCCCTATTTTGTATTTTATTTAGAGACAGGGTCTCACTGATTTGCTTAGTGCTTTGCTTTTGCTGAAGCTGGCTTTGAATTTGATGTCCTCCTGTCTCAGCCTCTCAAACCACTGGGATTGCAGGCATGCACCACTGTGCCCAGCTTCAGTTGCAATTCTTAAATCAGCATTTGTACTTATGAACTTTCCTAAACTCTCTGGGTGCGTAAAACAAACTAACTAACCAAAGAAACAAAAATAAGAAAATAAAAACTTTAGTGTCTGGGTGATTGACTTATCTTCAATGTTAAGGCAAAATTTCTAAGTCAATAAGTATTAGAAAGTCACTTCTAACTAGTATAATGATGAATGTGAAAGCAATAAATTAATGGATGCTTATGAGCACTTTCAAGCTGAGAAGCACTAAGTATTATTTTAACAGTGGCTAAAAAAGCATGATTAAGGATGGCTCCATCTCAGAAGCTTATCAGGTTGTGATGAACAGGTTTCCCCTGTTCACTCTCAAGACACTTTAGAAGTGGCCATACATGAAGTCTGGAAAGAAGTCCTTATGCAAACATACCCTCTGCACCAGGTCAGGTATATGAGGGACTGAGATGAACAACACATAAAGCTCTACTCCTGAGAGTCAAACCCATGTGAAATTTGTTTTTGTGTGATCTTTTCAAACTTACCTCAAGAATGATTGAGTTTTGCCTCAACACACAAACGATCTCACCCCTCCAACTGAAGAAGTCAACTCCTCTTCTTGGTGAATGATAAACATGTGGCCACATTCATTTTCTTTCTAGCCTAACTTCTTTCTTTACCAATTGTTGAACTAGAAAGCAACCAATTTTCCAATGCTTGCTACTCTACAAAGATATTAAAGTTTAACAGAAATTATAAACCTTCCCTGGAGAATTTGGAAAGTAAAGGACTCTAGATACCTGGATCAACAGAAGGGTGATATGATTACTTGCCTAATACAGATGACGCATTGGCCCTAAAAAGTTAGTCATGACCTTCTTGTTGCACAATAGTATTTTTTAACTCTAGAATCAAACATATTTCAGGGCAGTCATCTGTTTGTATGTCTAGCAGATTCAAACCGCTCCATCTTTTCAGTGCCTTGGCGTGGACACAGTGTAACTTACACACTTAATTTTGCTGGGAGTAGGTTGTGGGGCAGGCGTTGTGGTGGCGGTAAACAAACAATTGTTCTGGGGAAACAGATGTGGGGATGTGGTGAGTAAAAATTTTATGGCCCCAGAGACATAGGCTTTAGCCAGCTAGAATTCTAGCACTTACTGCTTTTCTTTTATCACCAGGTGTCTAAATTATACTGATCAACACCCTAATGACTGGTACATCTGGTAAGGATATTCTCAATTTGTTTTATAAAACATTTGGTGAAATATGCATATTATTTTCCTAAATAATTTTAGACAGCACAAGAAATAACACAGCTTAAGGAAATTTAGGGGTCACGTACATCAATAGCTATAGAAACATCATTTCCAGATGGTTGGCCAGTGTTTACTTATACATTTTCTGTGACAGTGAACTTACTATTTTTAATAATGTATTTCTGAGATGGAGATTTTTAGTGGTAAATTGTTTTTTTTTTTCCTCTTGAAATTTTTCTAAATGACTCTACAAATTTTACTTTTGGTAATAAAAGCAATAAAAATAAGCAGCTGCCTCTTTTATGAGATAGTTCATCAGAAATTTTAAGATAGTTGATACACTTCCTAAATCTTGATATCTATAACTTCCAAATTTCATATTATCAGTTCTATTAGATGATTAGCTCTGAAACATGGAGACCTTATCTTTTTTACCTATGAATTCCCTAACCCTAACATCACTTACTAAAAATATTAGTTGAATGAATATATGGAAGTCTGGAATGACTAGATAATGTTCCCTTAAATGATGTGTCATTAATTATTGTCATTAATGAATGTATGGAAGAATTAACTAGTTCAATAAATAAGGAACCAAGACACTGCTTTTTAGAATACTCCTTCATTTTCCAAGGATGAAGTATTAATCACCACGTGGTAAGATCAAGCCTCTCTGAGGGCAGACAATATTCCAGGCCTGTGGCAATTATGGTGGGGGTAGATTGCTTAAAGGATTCCAACACCCAGTCTAGCTGAGTCCCTGACCATTTTTCAGGTAGTAACAGGAAGTCTTTGCTTGCTCTGCCTCACTCCTCTCTGGCTGCTTTTGACCTCAGGTTCCTACTGCTGATTTTCTTGGTGTCTCTTCTCTGTGGAGTGGTGCTTTTCTGTCTCCAGTGCTGGCTGAAGAGATCCCGAATGGATTCCCCAAGACGCACCATGGCTGTTTTTGCTGTTGGAGATTTGGATTCCATTTGTGGTGAGTTGACACAGAGTTCTGGAACTTCTCTGTGAAGCCTTGAAAAGCTATCATCTGCCAAGTGAATCAGTGAACTTAGAATGGCAAATGGCTTATGGTATAGCCAAAGGCATGCTTTGAGAAGAGTTTAAGTGAGAAAAAATCAGAAAGAAAGAAAGCCCATAAGAAAGAGAATATATCTTAGGGAACTGATTCACAGTTGAGTATGAGATAGAATCTAAAGTGCAGAAGATTATTCTTGAGTTTTTGACATCAGTCTATCCAACTTGTATTCATAGTCTTGGTTACTTAGCTATGACTCACTTAACCCATCTGAAGTAGCACTAAACCACATTTTCCAGATGGTCTACTGCCAACGCACAGTGTGAAATCATTGTGACTGGACAGGGGAGTGCCAATCCACATGCCCTTTCTCTCCAGACACACTGACAGCATCCTGATGCTGCCTATACTCAATCTCCACCCCCCAAAACATGTTCCTCCCTCATTTCCCAATTTGCACGAGGAGGTAAGAAATGAAGAAATTAGAAATCTTAGAATTGTGCATAGCTTCCAACCCTAGCAATAAATAGGAAGACAATCAAAGGAACAAAAGAAAAAACTACCACGGATTTCTGGAAGGCTACAATTGATAATTCCTTTCTTTAATCATTAGCTTATTTCTTCATATTAAGTTTCATCTTCATTCAAACAGTGTTATGAGAATTTCCCTCTTAGGTACTACATCACATGCCACAATTGTCCCAAGAGTGCTTGGTAAAAATAAACTGTTTTAACTTCAAAAGTTACTTTAAAATTTAGTGATTGTTTTTACTATTAACTTTTTCCCACCCAAAAGTCCTTTAACAAGGACAAGACATTATCAGTTCGGGAAATGGTTATTTTGGGAAGGACTGTTAAATTCTCCAGTGATAATACATCTTTCTCTTGAAACTAAAAACACTTTTTATGAAGCAGAGAGGGTAATAGGGTTACTGACCTTTTAACAAAATATGTTTGTTAAATATGTCAAAGGGATCTACATGTTAATGTTGGCTTATTTTTCTTCATTAAACTACAGATAGTTAATAAATGGCATTATAATTCTTCCAGCTGAACTTGCATTTCTAAAGAGAGGCACACAATTCTCCATCTTAGCCCTTCTCTCACTTTGAAGAAGAACCTTCCACTAGAGTATCTTGAATATTTTTTTTAAAAAGTTTGTTTCTAATTTTAAGCTACTCAATTATGCTGCTATAATGTCTAAGGCAGTTTATGTTCCTATTTCTCTAATGCTTTTCTAATTTCTGCAACGTGTTTGTTTTGCCTGCTCTTGAACTTGGGTGAACCAGCCAGAATAGGTCTGAGTGTGGGAGAAGGGGTCCAGGCTGATACACTGTCTCAGTCACAAGCACATGATAGTATTGAGTCCTGGGCATTCAGTCACATGCTCCATATTATTCTGAAATCATTATGAACAAGAAAAAAAAAACTTGTAAAGAAATTGAATTTTTAAAATAACAATATGGTCACAATTTATTTCACATCTAACAAGTGATAGGTTGAGGGTTTTTTGATATTCTCTGTCTTTGGAAGTGGTTGTTATTTCTCTTAGAGGATTTTATCTATTTTCACACTTCTGAGTTAATATACATAGAATTCTTTGCTGTAAGTCAACTAGTAGACTTCAAACTATCCAGAATTGTGGGTAGAGAGTCTATGAAAATTTAGGCTGGACACTAAGGGCTTAGCCACTTCATCCCTGTACACAAAGTATAGCCACAGATGCTGAATATCATATATATTTTATGTAGTGACTCCATAACTGTAGGGATTGGATTCTAGTATATTTATTTCTGTCCTCATTCTATCATTTCCTCCCAGTGCCACTGGTACAGCTTCTGGATCATATTTTGCTCATGAATTCTCTTACAAAGATTTTTTTCTATTGTCAATCTTGGAGACCACAGGCTCAGTTATCTCTTACCATTTATCTTTTCCCTTCCTACAATGAGTTGGATTTCACTTTATCCAACCCACTCCATCCTCTCTGAGTGATATTCAAGATGGCTATGAAGGGGTCTAACAACCATTCACAGTTTTCCTATGAATGTTGCCCCAGAGTTAATGCTTTTGCATTCCTGTTTCTCCTCTCCCAAACAAAATACAAAAGGGTAATTAAGGAAGTGGTGTTCTCTATGATCCCTAGAAGTTTCTTAACAAATTTTGCTGGAAATGAATTCCAGAGAGTTGATATTTTGAGGGAGTCAAAAACCTTAATCCACACAGGATTTACTTGGCTGACTGGATTCTCATCATACCTTCACCTCTCCAGATAAATGATTCTTCCTACCTAATATTTCTGTAAGAAGAAGCTTCTCTCCCAAGGGAAGCTAGAGAGCCTCTCCAGGATCTTCCTGTGGATAGACATTGAGGGCCCAGACCTGTCTCCATAATTTTCACCAAGGAGGTGCTCATAGCTTGAGGCTGAGTCCAGAACCTGAGGGGTTCACATGATCACACACTGAAGTACGGGGCTGTACCTGTGAGTTTTCCTCACAATCACTATTTGAAAGAGGTAGAGAACAATTAGAAATCATTTGAATGACACTGGCGACATACTAGAATATGAAATAGAGGTTATGGCCTTCCTTTTATCTGTTACACACAGAAGAAGGCCCAGGATGCTCCCTTCTGAATACAGAATATGAGAAATGGGTCATTTAAACATTTTAATGGAGATACTAGATTTGATATATGAAAGTTGGGTTCCTCCCAGTCCTTCATTCTATTTCTTCAAAAGTTATTTCACTTTTATATCACGACTTTTTGATCATATTTTTTGAAATGGGTCCGCACATCTGATGTAAGTGTCAAAGGTTTGACTCTCAGGATCTCATGGAAGCTGCCCTCAAATGAGAAGAGTCAAGAGGAGAATTTTGGCTGAATATCAAAGGTTGGAGTTGACTGAACTTTACTAATGTTACAATATATAAAATAGACATTTTATCTCAATAGCAATTCAGGCTAACAGGTTACCAATTATCTTGATTAGAAATACTAAAAAGAGTGCTGGCTTCAGCAGCACATATACTAAAATTGGAGTGATACAGAAAAGATTAACATGGGCAAGGATGACATGCAAACTCTAGAAACATTCCATATTAAAAAATGCTAAAGAGAAGAAAGTAACTACTTGACTTGTCATCCTTATAAAAGGTATTTAAGGAAGGGGTTGCCATGCCATCCCATGTCAATGTCTGATGAGATTTCAGGTCTAAAAAATGTCCTTGGGAACTCAGTCAAACACTTTAGAGCCCAAGAACATCCCCTTGTCCAGTAGTGATTATCTCATTTCACAATATTGTGCTGGTTCAGCACTCAGATAACCGTATCTTCCTACCCTTCATAATATCTGTACTCTTAATATCTTAATATTATAATATCTATGCTCTTTTTTTTCAATTCTTTTATAGTTACAGTTTTCTTTTCTCATGATGTATTTCATACTGGGTAGTATTGTGTTTTTTTTTATCTTTTTTTAAAATTTTTTTATTATTAGTTGTTCAAAACATTACAAAGCTCTTGACATATCATATTTCATACATTTGATTCAAGCAGATTATGAACTCCCATTTTTACCCCGTATACATATTGCAGATTCACATCGGTTACACATCCACTTTTTTACATACTGCCATACTAGTGTCTGTTGTATTCTGCTGCCCTTCCTATCCTCTACTATCCTCCCTCCCCTCCCATCTTCTCTCTCTACCCCATCTACTGTAATTTATTTCTCTCTCTTGTTTTTTTTTCCCCTTTCCCCTCACTTCCTCTTATATGTAATTTTGTATAACAATGAGGGTCTCCTTCCTTTACCATGAAATTTCCCTTCTCTCTCTCTTTCCCTCCCCACTCTCGTCCCTGTTTAATGGTGAACTTCTTCTCATGCTCTTCCTCCCTATTCTGTTCTTTGTTGCTCTCCTTATATCAAAGATGACATTTGGCATTTGTTTTTTAGGGATTGGCTAGCTTCACTTAGCATAATCTGCTCTAGTGCCATCCATTTCCCTGCAAATTCCATGATTTTGTCATTTTTTTAGTGCAGAGTAATACTCCATTGTGTATTAATGCCACATTTTTTTTATCCATTCATCTATTGAAGGGCATCTAGGTTGGTTCCACAGTCTAGCTATTGTGAATTGTGCTGCTATGAACATCGTTGTAGCATTATCCCTATAGTACGCTCTTGTAAGGTCTTTAGGGAATAGCCCAAGAAGGGGAATAGCTGGATCAAATGGTGGTTACATTCCCAGCTTTCCAAGGAATCTCCATACTGCTTTCCAAATTGGCCGCACCAATTTGCAGCCCCACCAGCAATGTACAAGTGTACCCTTTTCCCCACATCTTCGCCAGCACTTGTTGTTTGACTTCATAATGGCTGCCAATCTTACTGGAGTGAGATGGTATCTTAGGGTGGTTTTGATTTGCATTTCTCTGACTGCTAGAGATGGTGAGCATTTTTTCATGTACTTGTTGATTGATTGTATGTCCTCCTCTGAGAAGTGTCTGTTCAGGTCCTTGGCCTTAATATGACATCATAATATCTGTACTCTTGAATAGTAGATCCTATATTTAATGGCTCCCCTAAATAGTCATTGGGTTCAGTAGAAGAGTCTCCAACACTTATTCACTCAGTTATCATCTTCAATGCCCATACATCATGATGGAGATCTTTATTTCCCAGAAAGGAAGAAATAATCCCTCTAATATTCCCTGTTATGGGTTGGGTTGTATACTCCATTGAAATAATGTGTTCAAGTTTAAAGGCTCAGTACCTCAAAATCTGGCCATATTTGAAGATAGGGCCTTTAAAAAGCTAATGTAAAATGAGGAAATTGGGGATAGGTGTTAATGCAACAAGACTAACATCCTTCTAAGGAGAGATGAGCACACAGGCACAAAGAGGAGACCATGTGAAGAAACAGGGAGAAGTTGGTCATCTGCAAGCCAAAGACAGT